GAATTTTCCGAGTTTTCTCGGAAAAAACTTATAAAAAATAAAAAAAACATCATTTTTGGTAGAAAAAAAAAGATATTATATAAAAATTAAACAAATCACTTTTTTGTAACAAAATCTATTAAAATAAAAACAATTTTAAAATTATAACTCATCGTTAGAATTTTCCGAGTTTTCTTTCACGGTGTTGCATGTCGGACAAGTAGGAGTAGTATGTTCTTTACATATATACACACCACATAACGAACAACTGACCTGTAAAATATAATATAAAAATAATATAATGTATAAATAACCAATAAATATCTTTATAATGGTACCTTTGTAAAGCGATTTTTTCTGATTGGACAAAAATTACATCTGATTCGTTGATCACTTGTCGAAACATCTGGATTCGGACTTTCTTTATTATTTTGTGAAGTACATCCAGTCATTTTTATTATTTGTTGTCGAAGAAGAAATGATAAACATGGCTGTTCAAGACGTTTTACCATGTAAGGTTTAGTGAGCTCTTGTCCCAAAGTTTTCAAATATTCTCGACGAGTTATCATTTTATCTGTATTTTCGCGATATATAATTTGACTGTTTATCCCAGCAATATTCATCAATGAAAAAAAAATAGTTAGGGGCCATCGACAACTAATTCTTGCCACCGAGTACTCGCCTTTCATTTCGTCTACTACATCCACTCCACCTTTAGTACCATTATAGTACGTTATGACTTCTGGTTTTTTTTGGTCACCGGATTCCGGGTCAATGATACCTTGATCATGCATACTTGATATCATAATGACATTTTTATTTTTGTTTGGAGTATAGGATGTAAGTAAAAGGTCTTTTCCATATCCAAACAAAGTCGAATTTACTTCTCTTTTTTTAGTTTCTAAAAAAACCGGTGGAATTTCCCTTTTGTTTTTTCTCAAAGTGCCCACTACGGTAAGATTATGATTTTTTAGTAACTCATTAGCCAATGGAATTGAATTGTACCAATTGTCCATTGTAATATTGCGGCCAGTTTTTGATATCGGCGCTAATATTAGTCGTTTTACAATACTTGACGGAGAATTGTCACATTTGAAAGGGCCATCTGGCTGAGTTCCTACGTAAACCTCCATATTAGACGTATAAAATGTACGAGAATCAACGAGTGCTTGAATTTTGATACCGTATTTATTTGGCTTATTTGGTATATATTGTCGAAAACTGCAACGCCCTCGAAACCCTTCTAGCATTTCATCTATAGTGCAATTCTCTCCTACAGTATAATTTTCTTTACATCGGCGAACAAAATCATCGAAAACTGCACGAATAGGTGCTAGCTTGTCTATTGCTCTTCTAACGTTCCTTGTTTCAATATCATCAAATCTAACAGCTCGAAGTAATAAGGAAAAACGTTTTTCTGACATGACTGCCCGGAAATATTCAGGAGAAAACCCGTCAGTTCTCCACAAATCGTGTAGGTTCAAATGATTGCTACGCAAATACCCAGCCAAGTACAATAATCCTAAAAGGGCATCTATTTCTTCTTTCGTAGTATCACGCACATTCTTATTATTTTGATAATTTGCACGGATTTTCGCTAAATATTTATTAGTACACTCAACTATATCTATAACAACAGTATCAGGAAAAAATAACTTCCAGCAATCTAAGACTGATTTGGCATCTCTAGCGATTCTTTTCACTCCGGGCAAATGCAAAACAATATTATGACGACGAGTACGGACGTTAGAAGGGGGGTTATTTTTATACCATTTAGTTATTTTATCTTTCCCTAAGAAAAACTCTGGTTCGGAAAATATAGTAATATTTTCACCTGAAAGAGAAGGTGATCGACGACGTACATTTGATGTAGTTTGATCGGTGCTTTCATCACTATCACTTGCCACATTTTCAATACAAAAGTCAGAATCGGCATCGGTATCATCGGAATCAAATAACGCGTAATCATCCTCAACCTCACTTAACCACGCACACACTTTTTCACAATTTTTGTCCATTATTTAAAAGTATAAAAAAAAATAATAAAATTCAAAAAATTATAACACGGTTAGTATCGTGCGAGCGGTACGCTAACATAATCGGTACTGCGTACTTTTACCAGTCATGATATCCATTATCCACATATTTTTGTATTTTTTTTGTTGCTATTTTAGTTTAATATTATTTAGATAAGAGGTATGTGGAGTTTCAAAACAATCTATTTTTATTTGAACAAGTGGTTCCTAAAATAAGTTTAATGTTAGCGAAACGCTAACACCGATACCGATGACGGGTTAATAATATTTAACAACTAGCTTTTGATTGAAAAGTTAAGATTATTTCATATTTTCTAAGATCTTGGAATAAATGATTCAAAAAAGTTATATTTTTATAGCACTTTATTCAATAAATATTACCTCTTTCGGTATGATCCGACTAGAAGTTGGAAATTTTGCATTGCCTTCTATGACGTATTAATGCTGCAGTGGTGCCAAGAAGATGAGGTCTTAGAAATCCCAGAATTGTAGGCTAGTATTATAAATAATATTTTTTGTGTCTGATATCAATACACCTGATGAGATCTATAAATAAATACTATAATTTTTTTTTTTTGAATTATTATGTAAGATACTATTAACAGGTACTGACTTTGTTCAAAATTATAGAAGTTTCTGGTGTTTTCAGAGGTATTATATTTGAATTATCACTGAAAATAATATCATCGTTTTTTATACTTGTTTTATGGAAGAATGATAGAATATTTCCATCCTTTTTATTTTTACCACTCGTAGCTCAATTAAATATATAATATTTTAATTTTTAATTAAAAGTTTTAATGGTTAATAAAATTAAATCACAGTCACAGAAAAGTAATAATAATTACACAAGAGTTTCGCGAATACACAACTACAACAAACGAGTATCACACGGATGTGAAGCGTATAGGTACTGCATTTGTTATCGTGAAATCAATTTAGACGAACGAGTTCTAAAATTAGAATTGGGGAAACGACAGTCGAAAACGAACGATATTATCATCACACAAATGTCGAGATATATCATGGTGTATTTATCACGAAAACGTCATATCATACCTAATATACTATTATACGTAGCACGAAAAGTAAAGGGGCTGTCACACGAGGCGACTACTCGCTACGACTACGTATCAGCGAGTAAAGTCGCTCCATCTGACAACGTATTCGCTACGAGTTATTCAAGTCGTAGCTATGAATAGTCGCGGCGAATGGAATAGAGCATGTTCAATTCTACTCGCTAGGAACGCGCGACTATGCGGGTCACGTGACGCACTCGCAACTCAAAAATCGCAGTCGCCCCGTGTGACATCGACACTCGCTGGTCGCTACTAGCTAGTATCATTATTATCATTATTGTTTATCAATATTAATTATATTATCAATCTTATAAGATTGTTATTGTATTAATATTTAATATTACTTAATTTCGTTAATTTAATCAGTACACTTCATCAGTAAACTTTTCGATCTTCAACTTTTCAATTTATTTTTCTATATAATATCATGAATAGCAAGAAAGAACCGACATTGAAGTGGTCATCTAATGATATAAGTAGATTTTTACTTGTATATAGAAAATATGAATCGTTATGGAATACAGCCGATGAAAATTTTATGCGAAAAAATGCACGTCAGAACAATATGACAAATTTACGCATGGAATTAAATAACATTGGTTTTCAAATTTCAAATGATGAACTTCTGAAAAAGAAAATTGAAAACATTAAGGATGCGTACAGACATGAAGCCAACAAAGTTAAAAAGTCTATGAAAAGTGGTGCTGGAGCTGAAGATATCTATAAACCCAAGCTAAATTGGTTTCATGAAGCTGATGCTTTTTTGAGAAACGTCATGACTGGTCGAGAATCCAGCTCAAATCTTGTAAGTACAATCAAGGGCGTCCGCAGGAATTTGTCAAGGGGGG